TTTCATTCATAAACGTTTTCTTCTGTTCAGATGATAAGCAGTATGTGTTTATCGTTTTGTTTGCTGATAATTATTGATATTATCAATAAGCCCTTCTTGTTTACATGCTTATGGTATAAATGTCGTCGCTTCTGATAGGGAGGCTTACCTTAAAAAACACTAGGTGATGTGCCATCACCTGGTTCCTTTGCACTTCTTCGAGACTGATTGGTGATAGGGTGACAGACCTTCGCGATTTCAGAGTAAATTTTTATTTTCTTAAGTGTACTCGAAGGTTTACGACAAGAAGCCATCCGCTTAAGTGATAACGCAGTAGGCGAAATGCTTTGAACGAATAAGTGAAGAAAAACATTGTTCAGCATGGCTTCGCTTTCCTGATGCTTAGCTGTCATGATTTGCAGTTATCGTGTTTTCTGACCGAAGTAGCGGCACTATCTTGAGCCGAAGCAATTATGCTGTCCCCTCCTGTGTCAGAGTTTTCAGACGAATTATGTTAGAGGAAACATGATATGTGATGGAAGAGCATGCAGAGAGAAATAGATAAGGCGCAGCAACTAAATGGGCATCACTTTGTCGACCAACCGCACAATCGTCTGTCCTGTAAACCAAACTGCTAACGACTCATCATGCACGTGATCCTCAGCTTGGTCATTATATGATCTCCATAACTTTGTTGCGACATTGACTGCGTTGAAAGATTTATATGTACAAAATAAATACAGATTTGTTTTAATCATTGTGCACCTGCAGTCTTATACTTGACAGTTGCAAACGTCATCCTTTGTTAGAAGGTGGAAAACATGATGCATCTGACATGTCTCATTTACGATAAATTGACTGTTCTGCCCTTCATCCAGATATGTACTTAGACCTTCTTTAAAGTCGTAAAATTTGTTATTTATCGCTGATTACCTTTGCGTGTTTCCTTGAAAATTTCCACTGTTTACTCGGCACCTTGTGCAAACACTTTGGACCTTACTTCACGTTGGTATCTATTCACTTACTTTTATTATCGTTTTCCTTCTACCTCGTTACCGCTGAAATTAGATATATGGAAAAGGCAGTCAAAGAATGTTATAAATTGACTTATGTATGGGTTAGGTTTCTGTGAGGTTTGATTTTTTAAGGTTTATTTTAATTTCTAAAGTGTTTTGCGTGCATTCATTCTAGCTGTAATCTCTTTCTTAATCTTAAAGGAATTTTTTCAGGAGAAAGACCTCAAAACTTTGAGCGAGTTCGTTAACAATCGTAAACCAGACGTCATCGCCCTTGCCGCAGAATCTTTGTAAGTTTGTACTCATTGTTGTGTTTTATCTGGGACTTCTTTTCAGCTGTAGCTTTTAGAAGTAACGGTCAATTACTCCTTTAACCGTGACAATTTGAAAAATAGGTGCTGTTGAAAGTTTTTATTGCGTTTGCATTTATCTTGTACAACCATTGAAGAAGGAGGAGGAAGTATTACCCTTATCGATTGAGCTAAACAAAATGAGAATTGACGCTTTCGATTCTTTCTCCGTTGTTGGAATTGTAACTAATTTCTTGATCCATCGTTGAAGGCGTCGAACAAAGCTGATTGAGGGTAAAACATTTCATTTCGACGCGTTTGTCATCAGCCAATGTCTTCATCGCCTGAACGAACTGTGCGTGCGTTGATTATGCTCTGGGCGTAATGATGAAACCGTCGGCTGCAAAATGTTGTACCGCAAATCTCCTTTGGATTTTCCTCAGCCATAGGTCAGGAAATTCGTTACAGACGTTGCCTTTGCGCATAGCTTATAATCTCGCTATACAGTACTGTGCAAGAAGGATAGGGAAAGTCTGTTCACAGCCTAATACAAATATTCGTACAGTTTCAAGTTTTTTTTGCGATTCTAGCGTATGTTAAACCGCCGCTGGTCGGAATTTGATTTGATTGGGCACTGCTTGCTATGTCACTATGAATGTAATCGCGCCATTCGGTGTTCAGCGCCATTCGAAGAGGTAGGAAGCAGATCCTAATGAATATAGGACCGCTCTACCATGTCAGACGTGAGCGTGAAACATGAGTCTGAAATGTCTAAAAATAGACGA